GTGTGCTGCTATGCCCAGCTAATGCAGTATTAAAGAGCCAGGCTGTGCCTTCCTGCATACGAGGCAAACTTCAGCTACCTCCCAGGCCCAAGTATCTCAGTGTTTTTTAACTTAGTTCCTTGAAATCATGTGGATTTCTTTTCCTGTAGTTTTATGAGGCTTGGAGTTTTGTTTTGTTTTGTTTTGTTTTGTTTTGTTTTGTTTTGTTTTTCTCCCAGATATTTATGATAAAGCTGATGAGGTTCCTTTGTTATATTTTAGAAAAGAAAGATGATTTTGACTGGGGGAAATACTTGATGGAAGGTGAAGAAATTGGCCTTGGTCCAAATATCGATACACCGGTAAGTGCCTGTGGTTTCGCCAAATAAGTACATGCCCACATGGCAGCAATAGTGTTAGTGTGTCCTTCTGCCACAGAACATGCTGTTTAGACAGGAATTCTCTTCACTAGGCCAGTGCGTCTGGCTTCTCAGGTAACGGGGCGTACTGCCAAGCCTGAACACCGGAGTTAGAGGAAAAGAATCAACTCCTGTGAGTTGTCCTCTGACTGCACACGTGAGCCACGGGTGAGCATGCTCACTCGTGTGTGTGCATATACATGCTGTCTCTAAATAAAATGTAACAAAATAGTATTTTAAAGAAGTGAATTGTGGAAGATTTATTAAGATTCTGAGCCAAATCAATGTATGTCAATACAATTTACATATTAAATAATACTATAGTAGAACTGTGTGGTGGTGTTTTAAGCAGAGGAAAAAGGCAAATTATTCAGGTTATAACACCCCTACCGTAGAATAAATTTTTTTAAATAGGTCAGTGCAATAAATGTACTCAGTGACTAATCAAGTCAAGGAAATTAAAAAATAAAACTTACTCTCATAGTTACTGTCTCAGAGAAATAATGCATGTTGGATTCTTTTGGAATTCAGAAATGTTTCTTGCTACTTCCATTAACAGAAAATTGGATTCACATATCCACCTCAGATTATTCTGTTCCCATTATGGAAACTTTCAAGAGAGAAGGTTTCATTTGGCATTTGCTTCTCTATAGAAATGTTCTTTGTTTTTAAGCCTGAGTCACTCTAATTGTTACAGCCTCAAGAGTAAGGTCTTTTTTCTCTTTAAATCAGAACTGGTCTGAAGACAGTGATGATGAAGACGCACAGCAGCCCTTAAGCAGAGAGGATTCTGGGATACAGGTAGACAGGACCCCGCTAGAAGAACAAGACCACAACAGAACAGGGGGGCCTCAAGTCGGCTGGGAAGGTAGTATACATGGCTGAGTGCTGGTGTTTTCTCACAGGTCTCAAATGACAGGTTTAAGATTGATGGCATTGATGAGAGTATTGGTAAGCCCTGACATTCTTACCAAATCTTAAACTGTCTTAAGTGTGTGCCTAAGAAGCAACACTATAGCTTTATCCCTTATATCACATCAAGTAAGAAAAGCAGTACTGTAAAACTTAAAATGTAGGGTTTTTTCTAATATTTTTATAATTATTTTATGTGGGGGGTGTTGTATGTTCCTGTTTATACTGTGTGCATGCCTGGTACCCACAGAGGTCAGGAGAGGGCATCAGGTCCCCTAGCACTGGAGTTACAGACAGTTGTGAGCCACCATATGGGTGCCGGGGGTCACACTTGGGTCCTCTGCAAGAGCAGCCAGTGCTCTCAACCACTGAGCCATCTCTCCAGCCCTAAAATGTAGTTTTTCAAAAGTAGTTCTAATAGCTAAGTCCTAAATGTTTTCTTTGTTGTTGTTGTAAAGGGTTAAAGGAGAAAGCTATGGAGAGTTGTTTTTTTTTTTTTTTTTACTTGACTGCTTATCTTTTCATCAGTGAGCAACTATGAATTGGAAGAAATTTTAGGAAACTCCTGAAGATTATAAAGTCATCCTGTTGTACATATTTTATCTACTTTTATTTCTGACTCCCAGTTTTATTTCCTCTTTCCTATCAGTGAGTTATAAACACTTGTTCCAATATATTTGCTATCTATATGTCTGTCATTATTTCTGCACTTCGAAACATTATGTTGGCTGGTGTGTTAAATTACATAACTAGAAATATGTGTAAATTGTTTCCTTATCTTTCCTTAGAACGCTCTCTCCTAAGACCTCATATTGGTATGGGAATGTCTCTTCCTCTGTTCTTAAATTGTTACTGAAGTGTAAAGTATTGAATTAGGTCTACTCTTCTGACTGGGAATTGTCTGCGTTGCCACTAATCTGACTACTGGTTATTTAAGGACTCATGTACTTGTTGACTTTGCAGGGTATTTCTTGGTAATTGCCATCGTTTACTTGTTCCCCTGGAGTTTGGGTTGTTTCTAGACAGGGTCTCTTGGTAACAGGAGCCATCCTCCTCCCTCTGCCTCCCGAGTGCTGGATTATAGAAGAGTGCCATCATGCTCATTGGAGTTTCCTACCTGTTGCCTTCTCCCACAGTTCTTTGTTGATGTCAGTTCTTAGGCTTTAGACATTTTGCAAATAGCTTCTTCTGACTCAGAGAAAAAGGAATCTGTGTTCTTTATTATTATTATTATTATTATTATTATTTCAATCAAACCTGTGAACTTGAGCCACTGAAGAAGTGGCTGAGCATTTAAAAGAGCTTGCAGCTCTTCCAGAGGACCTGAGTTCCAAGCACTCGGTGAGCTGCTCACAACCACCTGTAATCCAGCTCCACAGGATCCAGCACCCTCTTCTAGCTTCTCTAGGTATTGCACACACACACATGCACATACACACTCACATATAGACACACACATACACACCCATTAAATAAAAATTTAAAACCTTAAAAAATTGTTTTCAGATGGTCAGTGTTTGGTCTTGAGATTTTTGCTTAAAACCAACTTTTCCCTGTATTTTTGTGTCTGTTTTATTGTTGCATTTGGGTTGGGTTTTTTGGTTTTCTTTTATTTTTTGAGATTATAATATAATCACATAATTTCCCCCTTCCCTTTCCTCTCTCCACACTCTCCCAAATTCCCCCTCCTTGTTCTCTTTTAAATTCATGGCTTTTGTTGTTGTTGTTACGTATATAAATATAACCTACTCAGTCTGTATAATGTGACTTGTACATCTATTTTCAGGGCTGACCATTTAGTGTTGATGGTTTGTTCTTGCTGGGGAAGACCACCCTCCCCAGCTCTCATCATTCCTTAATTGCTTATAGTTCTGTGTGTGCGGTTGAGGCCTCATGTGCTTTCTCGAATCCGCATTAGCATGTTTGTTGGTATTGTCCTTGCTCGGGTCATGTTTAGGCGGCCACGTTGGTGACACTTTATGAGTACATTTTCTGACATTCCTAAGAGACACAATCTCAAAGCAAACCCCATGTTTCTCTACGGTCTTCCTGCTTCCTCTTCTGCAGTGATCTCTGAGCCTTAGGTGCAGGAGTCTTGTAGATACGTCAGTTGGTATTGGGCTCCACAAATCTGCCCTTTGGTTGGCTATGGTTTTCTGTAGTGGTTTCCCTCTGTTGCAAAGAGAGGTTTCCTTGATGAGGTGAGGACCACACTCACCTGCCTCGACCCTGGAGAGGATCACATTTGAATCATTAGATGTCTCCAGGGTCTATATGACGTGAAATTAAAGGATCCAGTCTGTTTTTCTACCATCTCATGAGACAGTTTTCCCAGCAGCATCATTGCTTGGTGATTTTATCTTGATTGTCCATCAGGTTTTCCTTTGTACTTTATTACAGATCTTCTGTCTGTTATTTTAGTGTTCATCTACCCAGGGACAGACTTTCTGTTTTCGTGGCTTTGTGGTGTTCTGTCTTAATACATAGAATACATATCCCATCCTTTGCTGCTTTTCCAAATTGCCTTAGCTCTTTGTGAACCTATACTCTTTGTGGACATGTAGAAGCAGTGTGACAAATAAATCCAACTGGATTTTTTTATTAGGGTTTAGCTTAAATTTGTCAGTTTAACTTGAGGAGGCTGACAGTACCCCCATTTTTTTCTAATTATATTAGACTTCAGAAAGTTTAATTATTTGTTTGGAAGTAAACAGAGAGCCTTGTGAATGCGAGGTAAATGCTCTACCATTGAGATATATCCTAGTCCTCTGAAGTTGTGTGGGGAGGTTTTGTTTGTTTGTTTATTGGTAATGTTCTTTTTTAAATTTTCAAGTATTCATCTAGTGTGTGCTACAGTTTTTATTGTCCTGAATCTTGAGCAGTTGGTTTTGCTCTGTTCGGGTTGGGATAGGAGGACACTGATTTCTGCAGTTTGTCTATGTTGGGCATTCTTGGTGAATCTTCATCTTAAATTCCATAGTCTGTTGATTCCTTTTTTTTTTTTTAATGTAAGTGATAAATATTAATCTGCAGACATTCACAGTTTTATCCCCTCCTTCTAATTCTTAAACCTTGCATCTTCTTTGTGACAACTTGACTAAGTCTAGGTCAGCCTCTCATTTACAGGCCAGGCAGTGGCCAGGGGAGGGCTCTCATGGACGGGATTCATCCCAAGGGAGCTACTTTCAGTCATAAGGAGATGAAAGGACCGAGTACACTATGAATACTGATACACATTCCACTTCTAGCAGATGAGCCAGATAGCCGGAGTTGGCTGGAACAGCATGTAGTCCATCAGTACTGGACAACCAGGCGCTGCCGGATCCCACACAGTATGCATTTGCACTCCAATTTAGCTGCTGTCTGGTAAGCTAAACTTTTCATTTAATATAATGATGTACTGGCTTTGATTTGTGATTGAAATCAAGTCCGGCCTTGAATTGTGAACTTGATAGTTTTAAACAATTGTAAACAAGCGTGCACATTCATTGCGCTGAGGATGGGATCGATGGCCTTAAACATGTTAGACAGCACTGTTTCACTGAGCTAAGCCTTCCTCCCTATAGCAATTTCTAACTGATATCCAGTACCATGAAATTACTAACGGGACTATCTTTATTTTCAGTGTAAGTGGACTGGTGTATACTATCTAATCTCCATTTTAGTGCACTTGCTATAAAAACACACAAATTTTTAAAAAAGCATTGCATAGTTTTAAGTGCTTGATTGATAAACAATTGTAATTACTCTGAACATACTTCACTAAAAAGATTTCAGGGAATGTGGAAAATTAATATGGAGTGCACGTAAGACATTTACTGTGTTTATTTGTTGATTGCTGAGTATAAAATTGCATAAATTCATTAATGTTACTTTTGGTGTTTGCTCTTTAATAGGGACCAGCACCTGTACAGCAGTGATCCGCTGTATGTTCCAGATGACAGGGTGGTGGTTACTGAGACACAGGTTATTCGGGAAACCCTATGGTAAGATGCATTAGCCTGAGAGATTTTTATTATTGAGAAGTAAAATAATATTGTTTAATTTTTAAGAAACAACCAAGAATTTCCACTTGCAGGCTAGAAAAAGGCCTTAAAGATGAAGTTCACTGTGAAGACTGTGTGATTTTGATATATTCTTTCTTATTATAAATAATTTGGGATTGAGTTAGACCATCATTTTTGAATATCTGAATTCAAAACAAAGCTTGCTGCTGACTGCTTTCATTTGAAGTGTGTCTGTGAGGGTTGTCTGTGCTAGTACCCCAACACTGCAGGTCTAAAGCAGCCTGTGATGAGCCCCTGGGCCCAGGTGATCCTGCCATGAGCTGTGCTACTAATATTCTATCAACATTCTGACAGTTATAGACATGCAGTGGTCTCTTTGTATCCTCAGGATTGTAGCAGGGTGTGTGTGTGTGTGTGTGTGAGAGAGAGAGAGAGAGAGAGAAAGAGAGAGAGAGACCGTTGAACTCTGTTTGTTTGTTTGTTTGTTTGTTTGTTTGTTTGTTTGTTTGTTTGTTGAGACAGGGTTTCTCTGTGTTGTGGAACTCTGTAGACCAGTCTGGCCTCGAACTCACAGAAATCCTCCTGCCTCCGCCTCCTGAGTGCTGAGATTAAAGGTGTACACTACCACTGCCCAACTAACTGCTGAACTTTTAGAATGATGCTGAAATATCTTGTCTTAACTTAATCCCATGAAGTTTGATAATCTTCCCATTTTCTTATCATCAGCCTATTTTGTTTCCTAGTTCTGGGTTTTCAAAATAAATTTCTCACCTGTACTTTAATGACTGTTTTAGTAAACTTCAAATATGTTGATCTTTTTTTATTTCATTTTAGGTTACTTTCAGGGGTAAAAAAGCTGTTTATATTTCAGTTGATAGATGGGAAGGTCACTGTGAGAAACAATATTATTGTAACTCATTTGACACAAGTAAGTATTTGTGTTTATTGTCACTTAAAAATTAAATTTAAAATTAAGCAGTAGTCTTTTAAATGTTGGTGATATAACTTTAGAACATTGTATAATATCAGATTTATTGAATATAGTAAAAACTCTAAAAAGCAAAATTAAGTTGTACATCATTACAAAGCTTAGCCAGTTCTTAAGTATTATTTGTGACATTTAAGTTTCATTTTATTCTCTCCCTATTTTTTTTTCTGTACTGAGAAAGCTTTATACTGTAATGATTTTTTCCAATACTTTATGTGTATTTTTAAAGGGTATAAGCTATAATTGACGTTCATTGTATCTTTTGAATATGAACTAAAACTCATCATTATATTACTTTGTCATGTACCAGTTTAAAACAGTCATAGAAACAGTCTTTTACAATGAAGGAGAAATTAATTTGAACATTTGTGGAAGACAAACTATAAATAATTACACTTCTGTTGTAGAGCTGTTTACGATCTGTGCTTGAACAAATAGCAGCATATGGCCAGGTTGTGTTTCGGCTCCAGGAGTTCATTGATGAAGTCATGGGGCACAGCTCTGAAAGCCTATCACCTGGAAATGGTTCCGTACCTAAGAAGCCACCTGAAGCCCCCTTTAGAACCTACCAGGCTTTCATGTGGGCCCTCTACAAGTATTTCATTAACTTCAAAGAGGAACTTACAGAGATTGAGAAGTGCATCATCAGTAGTGGTAGGTAACTTTTTTAATTCATAAGCTACCTAAGTTATTTTGAATAGTATTAAAATTATTCATTTTTGACAAAAGGTTTAAAATTATATTGTAAATAAGTAATTCTTATGGATATATCCATTTTAAAAGTGATTTTCAGGCTTGGGAGATAGCTCAGCAGATAAATGTGTTTGCTACCAAGCTTTATAACCTGAGTCCAATCTGTAGGACCTGCATGATAGAGGAGAAAACCAGTTCCAACATGCTATGCTCTACCTCCACATTTGTCCTGTGGCACACACACGTCTACCTACTACCCCTACCACCACCCAAACCCACATGCACACACACACAAATAAATAAGTGTAACAGAAAAGTTGAATAACTTTAGAAGCTCCCTTAAATTTACATTTTTTAAGCCATTTCTCTGTGAAAATTCAAGAACTACAGAACAACATCCAGTGAACACTTTATTGCTCCAGTTCCCTCCCATGACAGACAGCTTCTTGTACCTCCTTTAGAGGATGCTATGTATGCATGTGAGAGCCCCTTCATTTCCTTTACAAAAACTGTTGTTAATGCCATAGTGGTGGACATTTGATTATTGCCACTCTGCTGTTCCAGGATAGCTGCAATGATTCTCGCTTACACATTGCAGTAGTTACACACATGCAGACTGGAATTCATAGACCAGAGAGTATATATATGATGACATAATGTGACTTTTGCTAGATTGTCCTAAATTTCTCTACAATTATCTCTACAATTAAATATAGATAAATTTATGTTTTGTCAGCAGGATCTTGTTACATGTTACTAAATTTTTGTTCTTTACCAAATGAGAGGTATAAAATGGTCAACTAGTATGTGGTTTTTGTTTTCCCACCTTTAATTTTCTATTTGTGTGTGTGTGTGTGTGTGTGTGTATTTGTAAGCTAGGGACAGAGTTGCACAAAGAGCTCCTTCCTGTGTTCCCTTGTTTCTCTCGGTGGTGGAATTTCCCATGATTATAGTGTAGAGTCAGCTCAGAAACTGACCTGTCACAGCAGCACATTAGCCAGGCCGCAGGCCCAGCTTTATGGGAGGCATAGTGACTTTGTGATGGGCTGTTTTGCCACATGTGTAAGTACTGTACAACCACTTTCACGTTCAGGGTAAGGAGCTGTGCCACTACCGTTCAGGAATGTGGTTGGTTGGGGAACTTGGCTGAGCCGCCCCTTTTCAGCTTCTGCCACTCACAGAACTGGTGGCTTGTGTAGGGGAGTTTGCTTTACACTGTGTAGCTTTAGTTGATGCTCTTTTAAGTGAAGTGGAGTACCTTTCTGTTACATTAAAGCCATTGTCTTTTCCTTTCTGGAATCTGTCAGTTCCCTTATATATGATTTTTGTCTGAATTTTCTTTTTCTCCTTGGCTTATGGGAGCTCCTTCCTTAAGGAAGATAGACTATTAAAGATAGAATATTAAAATTGATATTAAACCCACCACCTGCCACCTGGCTATGCGATTCCGCATGTCAAAGAAATAGCATTATTAGCATAAGTATTATGCTGGTTCTTCCCTGCTGTTCAGTTTGATTTGTTGGTACTCACAGATACCACGATAACGCTTGCAATAGTGGTGAACAAGTTGGCCCCTCGACTGGCTCAGCTCAAGGTCCTGCACAAAGTGTTCAGTACTGGAGTAGCAGAGGTCCCACCTGACACTCGGAATGTCGTCCGGGCATCTCACCTGCTTAACACCCTGTACAAGGCCATCCTTGAGTATGACAACGTTGGAGAAGCCTCTGAGCAAACTGTATGTTGTATTTTTGCCTTATCTGAAGTGACGATGAAAGGGTAGTGATAGCCTGTCACAATTCCTTGTTAAATGAGGTTTCAGTCATGGTATACCAGACGGTTCAAAGTTTCACGGTTATTTTCCAAATTCATGGCTGTCGTATTAGTTTTATTACCAAAAAAAGCAGAAGGGTGAAACAAGAAGTGAAAATACCTGCTTGGCTTATATAGATACTTATAATAAACCTTTTTACATAAAACACAGCCAGGAATGGTGGTGTACACCTTTAAGCCCAGCACTCAGGAGACAGGTGCAGGCAGATCTTTAGGTTGAAGGCCAGCCTGGTCTACATAGCAAATTACAGGCCATCAAGAGCTACATAGCGAGACTCTTTCTAAAAAAAGACAAGAAAGAGGTTACAAGTCTGTGACACGAAGTGTCTAAAGTAGTCATATAGTGTGAGGGACTTACAGGGGCTGGTGGGGGTTTTCAGTGTAAATGTATTTAACGTACTGACCTTATAGGGCTGGTGGGCTCAGTGTAAATGTATTTAATGTACTGACCTTATAGGGCTGGTGGGCTCAGTGTAAATGTATTTAACGTACTGACCTTACATAGTAACGTGGCTAAGATGGTGTTTCAGGCGGGAGGCTCAGCAAGAAGATTGAGTTTGAGGTGGTTCTGGGCTGCATGGCCAGGCCCTGTCAAAAACTAGAAGCCGGGTGTGGTGCCGCATACTTTTGACAGGTGGATCTCTGAGTTCAAGGGCAGCCTGGTCTACAAAGTGAGTTCTAGAACAGCCAGAGCTGTTAGACAGAGAAACCCTGTCTCAAAAGAATAAAAGTGTCGAGCCTCAGGCTCTCTCCATAGCCCTGTCAGTCCTGCAGTCCACACTGCAACTGAGGCTGTACTGTCACCTGTGGCCTCTCCTTGCTTCACGTGGTACAGGCCTCTGCCACTCTCCATGACCTCTCCATGCCTTTAACCAGTACACATGAGAGACTCTGACACACTGCCAAGTCCGACTGTCACCATTCAACGCCACCTTGGCCCCTCTGGACCACAACTTCTGTGTTCTCACCCTGAGGAAATGCTCCCTGAAGAGTTTGCCTCAAAGATGCTGGTCTCCGGTTAATTATAGCTGATTCTTCAGCACCAGCTGAGCAGAAACCACAGATTCTTAATTTGCATACATCGTGTGAATGTTCTCAGTAGAGTCTTAGAGGGACTCTGCGACTTCCCACTGAATCTTCTCAAGTCAAATCATCATCTGCATTCTCTCAGCATCTTTTGTTTGTTTGTTTGTTTATTTGTTTGTTTCGAGACAGGGTTTCTCTATGTAACTGTGGGTGTCCTGGATCTCTCTCTGTAGACCAGGCAGCCTCGAACTCACAAAGATCCGCCTACCTCTCCCTCCCAAGTGCTGAGATTAAAGGTGTGTACCACTACCTCAGGCTTCTCTAGCATTCTTGTCTGCCAAGCTCCTACACATAACACTAAGCTCTAAGTACTCAGTGGCTTTTTCATTCCAAAGTTCCAAAGTCCTTTCAGTCTTCCCCAAACAGCATAGTCAGGTCTCCCATACAAATAGCCTACTCTCTGGATCCAGTTTCTGTCCAAAATTGCTTTCTCTTGCTGTGATAAACACCCTGACAAAGGCCACTTGGGAAGGAAAGAGTGTATTTGGCTTGTACATCCATGTTATATATGGTGCGTTATCCAGGGCAGCCAGGGCAGAAACTCAAGGCAGGAGCAGCACAGGTAGGAGGCTTGGAGGAATGCTGCTTACTGGCTTGCTTCTCATGGCTTGCTCAGCTTGTTTTTTTATACAACACCAGGACCAGGGCCACCTGCCTAAGAATGGCACTGCCGTCAAGATCAAGATATATTATATCAATCAAGATCAAGAAACTGCCCCACAGACTTGCCTACAAATCTGTCTAATGGAAGAGTTTCCTCAGTTGAGGTTCCCTCTTCCCAGATGACCCTAGCTTGTTTCAAGTTGACAAAAAAAATAAATCAGCACAGAGGGTTCTCCTATGCAAGAGCAACTTTATATTTATCCCATAGTTAAATGGACTTTTTAATAAGAATCTTAAAGTATATGTTTTGAGAATTTCAACTTCTCTGTTTCAAAAAGTATACAAATACAATCACTTTAAAGTCATTTTGAAATGTTTAATCTTAGCCTAGTGCGAGGAGCTCTGAAGACTGACTAAGCAAGGTCTCACCCTTAGGTCTCCCTCCTGTTCTCTCTCTGGGTGGAAACAGTGCGGCCCTACCTCCAAACCGTAGATGAATGGATCGTGCATGGGCACCTGTGGGATGGTGCGAGGGAGTTCATCATACAGAGGTGAGAATTTGCTTTGAGTCCAGGGGATGCTGGGTGATGGCATTTATTTGATCAAAACTGAATACTTTGTTAGGTTCACAGGGAACTGAGAGGGTAGGTTGGTGATGAGCATGACTGCTACCATAGCACTGGCATGTTCTACTGCATCTTTATAAAGGTGTCAGGTCCCAACCAATGGAAAGCATCTTTGAGTTTTATGGCAGTTCACATCTTTTCATAGCAGTTGATATTTTTGAATAGTTTTGAAATGTGTACTACTTCCTGTGAGATGAACTTAAATGACATCATGTTACAGACTATTTCCATTGTAAGTTATCAATAAGATATGACAATAATATAGGGTTTTAAGGTACATATTTGTTTGAGACATTTACCTCTTAAAATAAGCTATATATTGTCTTAACATAACAATTAATTAAATATTAAATTTATTTACTTAAAATAAATAAAGAAAAATCTTAATCCATTTATAACAATTTCCCTTTAGTCAATTTCTGAACTCATAAGCTACAATGGAAAATTACTTGTAATGTTTCTAAAAGGAACTAAATAGTCATACTCTGTTTAATTCCAATTAAGGAAAGTATTTCACTTAAATTTTAATTAAATTGAGAGTATTTATTTTTGTACATTAAACTGAATGAGGTTAGATGAAGACTACTCCATTTTGTCTGAAGATCATGATGTTACTGCTAGACTACCTAGACTAAGACAAAGTATGCTATTTTGTTAAAGGAACATAAATTAGCCTTAAAAGTCTTTGACTCTCCATAGGAACAAAAATGTTCCAGTAAATCACAGAGACTTCTGGTATGCAACCTACACTTTGTACAGTGTGTCGGAGAAGACAGAAAATGAAGACAAAATGAGTGACAATGCCAGTGCCAGTTCTGGCAGTGACCAGGGTCCCTCCAGCAGACAGCACACCATGGTGTCCTTCCTCAAGCCTGTCCTGAAGCAGATCATAATGGCCGGCAAGTCAATGCAGCTGCTGAAGAACCTGAACTGTGCAGAGGGCTCTGCGTGTCAGGCAGCAGCCAGAGGTAACCCCGTCCTTTCTGTGAATGTCGTCTTTGGCTTGGCTTAACTGTTTCATTCACCTTTGTCATTCCCAAACACAAAGTAGTGACCGAAGCTGTTCATGTCCGTGGAAATTATCGCCATGGTTTTTGGTTGGTTTATTTAGTTTTTTGAGACAGGGTCTCTCTGCATAGTCCTTGCTGTCCTAGGACTCACTCTACAGACCAGGCTAGTCTTGCACTCAAAGATCCTCTTGCCTCTGCTTCCCAAGTGCTGGGATTAAAGGTGTTTACTATCACACTCAGTTATCACCCTGGTTCTTTAAGTAATATTTTTTCTTTTAAAATTTCATACATTTGTACAGTATATTTTAATCATATTCACCTCTGACTCTTCCCTGTCCAACTCTTCCTAGGCTTCCCCCAACACATCTACCTCCCAGCTCTGTGTCCTGATAGTGTTATGTTTTTATAACCTACTAAATCCGATTAGCTCTGCTCATAGGCATATGGGTATGGGCGTCCTAACACTGGCCACCCCCCGCCCAAAGAAGTTACTCTCCCTCAGTAGCCATTGGCCTAGCGTAGCTCATTGACTTGGAGTGTGGCCTCAGGAGCCTCTCCCTCAGTTTTTCTGGCTTGGTTTTGTGCAAGTAACCACTGCTTCTGTGAGTTGATAGGTACAGTAGCCATGGCCATGTCCATAAGGCAGCATTTCACATCATCCACATCTTCTAGCTCTTACATTCTCTCTACCCACTCTTCCTGGATGTTCTCTGAGCATGGGGCGGGAGGTGAGATTGATACAGATTCCCATCAGTGGCTGAGTACTCGTCACTTACTCTCATCACTTTGAATAGGTAAGAGTTCCAACTACAAGAAAAAGAATCTTATTTTAACAAGGTTGAGAGCAAGGTACATCTATGGTGTTGTGGTTATTTTTTGTCAGCTTAACACAAGCTAGAGGCATTTGAGAAGTGGGGCTCTAAATTGAGAAAATGCGTTCATATGATTGCCTATAGATAAATCTGTGGAACTTTTATTATTATTATTAATGATTGATATGGGGGAGCGCAGCCTACTGTGGGTATGCCAACCCTAAGCAGATGATCCTGAGTTTTGGAACAAAGCAGACTAAGGAAGCCATGGGGAACAAGCCAGTAAGCAGCATTCCTCCATAGCTTCTGCTTCACGTCCTACCTTGAGTTCCCTTCGTGATGGACTACAATTGTGAGCTAAATAAACCCTTTTGCTCCCAAGTTGCTTTTGGTCATGGTATTTAACACAGCAATAGACACCCGAACTGAGGCATATGAATATAACCAAAACATTTAGAAGGCAATTTGACAACATGGCTATTTAGCAAAACAAACAATAGGTTCCCCCATTGGGCCTGTAACCAACTGAGTGAGCCCTGAGTCTTTGAACAGTTTACAATACCAACCTGACTGACTTCCTGTGGAGCAGGCCTCAAATCCAACCCAAAAGCAGTTGTTTAACCACGTAAACTTTATGCCACTGTTGTACCACTGTGCATGTTTTTCCTGGCAGACTGGCTTTGCAGCATTCAGGGTCCAGTGATAGGTAAGACTGATGATAGCGTTTCTTCCCCAGCACCCTGCACAGTACCTTTTACTACCATAAAAGCTAGCCAGTGGGGAGAAAATTTTCCTTTCAGTTTGAGATTGGTTTCACTATGTCCACATGCAAAGTATGTGGTGTCTTCAGCAACAGGGTCTTGCCATCTAGTTGAGTAACCAAAAGCAATAGTATTCATTGGTGTCACCATGATTGAGTGAAATTATACTGTTCTTGATAGAAAAACCAACTCTCTGCTATTTCTTTTTATTTATTTTTTGTTTTGTTTTTTGTTTGTTTGTTTTTCAAGACAGGATTTCACTGTGTAGCTTTTGGAGCCTGTCCTGGAACTCACTTTGTAGACCAGGCTGGCTTCAAACTCACAGAGATTCACATGCTTCTGCCTCCTGAGTGCTGGGATTAAAGTCGTGGGCTGCCACGACCGCCACTGCTGCCACCACCACCACCACCAGCCCTCTGTATTCTTTTAAATATAATTTCCATTTGATTTTATTTGTCCCGTTCTGTCCTGTGACACCAGCTCTTTCCATGAGCTTTGGGTGGAGGTCATGGGGCAGCACCAGCAGGTCTGAATCTTGGTTGGAGTGTTTCAGTCCTTCAGGGCTTCATGAGACAGTTTCCTGACCACCTAGCTATGGGTGGCACAGCCCACACCGAAATCTAGCTTGACATGGAGTTTGGAAAGTACATGAGGGTCAGAGTCATTTTCGCTTTAGAACTGACCCTAGTGGCAGTGGCCTCTACTGTGTCCTTTATTTTATGTGTGTAAGTGTTCTGCTTGCTTATATGTCTGTGTACTCCATACATGCCTAGTGCCCCAGAGGTCAGAAATGAGTGTCGGGTTCCCTGAAATTGTAAGATGCCATGAGGGTGTTAGGAATCGAGCCTGGGTCCTCTATATGAACAACAAGTACTCTTAACCAATGAGCTATCTCTCCAGTGCCCCAATCGTCTTAATGGCCTTGTCCTTGTCCTCTGGCACACACTGGCTGTGGTTCATGCAGTGAACTGGCCATGGTCCCTCTGCTTCTTTTCTTTCTTAACTTTTCTCTTTTGGTCTAGGGTAGAGCCAGGATCTGACAGGATCCAGTGCCTCTGGCATGTTCAGAGTGGTACACTGTTTTGCTTTTGGATGGACCCTGGCAACTTTGAACTTGGTAATTCAGTTCAGGCAATGCTCAGACATTTTTAAGAAATCTTTGTAACTGTTTGGGAATACAATTTAAGTAAATTAAAGCTTTGTAAGCTGACTGAAAAGACTTGAGTGGGGTCCACATTGTTTGTTTGGGTTTTAAACTACCTTAATGCTCTCTTAATTATTTTGCCATATCTACCTTAGATTTTTGCTTTGTGGAGATTCCTTTTTAACTAACTAATAAACTATAATGAGTTTTGCTGGGCCAGTGCTGGTAGTGATTTCCGTGGAGTGACTGCAGTAAGTCTTTCTGTAATCTTAAGCAGTAAGTTAGTAACTGAAGTTTAACTCTTCTTCAAGTATTATTCTGTTCAGAGTAAAATTAGCTTATTTAGCATGCTAGGTAATCAGAAATGCTGCAATTTAACTGAGAATAAAAAGTGATTTTTAACATTTATTTATATTTGTGTGTGGATCTGTATTTTGTACGTCATGTATGTATATGTCTGCCTATAGAGGCCAGAAGAAGGCATTGGATTTCTTAAAGCTGGAGTTACAGGCAGTTGTGAGCCACTTGAAGTAGGTTCTGGGAACCAAACTAGGGTCCTCTGCAGGAGCAGTATGCTTTCTTAGCTGCTGGGTCAACTCTCCATCTCCACCCCCAGTTTTACTGTCTGAGTATATGCCACCTGTAGTAAGGCTGATGATGGAGGACAGAGAGGGCGTCAGATCCTCTTCAGCTGCAGGTAACAGGCAGTGTGAGCTTTCTGATGTGGGCACTGGGATCCAGACTCGGGTCCTCTGGAAGAGCAGTGGGAGCACTTAACTGCACATACATCTCTCCAGCCTTGGAAACATACTGAGACTGCTTTTGAGAACAAAATTCATCCCATGTATTTGTATTTCAGATGCAGAAAGAAAAAGCTTATATACCCTCTTTCTGGAATCTATACAGTTGCGTCTTCAACATGGAGAAGATTCGACTCCACACATTCTTACTGAGCAGCAGGCAACCAAAGAGAACTTAATAAAGATGCAGTCCATTGCTGAAAGGCATCTTGAGCTAGATGATATTCATGACCCACTGCTGGCCATCAACTTTGCAAGGTGAAAACATATATACCATATTTTCAGTGACTGAGATATACTTTGAGTAATACAAAGTAATACTTTGTAATTGTTTCTGCCAGGTAGGTCTTTCCCTCCTTAAACACAAAAACCTGTCCTTTCTAACAGAGGACAAGAAGATGTGTGTTCACCTATGTCAGATGATAATTTTGCCCCCTCATTTATGAAAGTATACAGATGTGACCCAGCTGACATCTCTGTACCCTACACCCCCTAGAATATTGTAGCTCACCTAGAATATGCTTCTGAAAATCTGGACAGGCTCTGCACTGTCTCCTTCTGTATTACACGTGTCTGGGGCTTAGAATGCTTTCAGGAACTTAACTCCAGTGGAATAAGACATCAATGCCCTTGTGATTTCCTACTGTCTGATAACCATTTACTGTATAACACTCACGGAAGGACTAATTCCAGCACTGACCCAATGGCAGCAATGTTCCAGAAAGGATGTTCTTGGGGGGAAGGTTTCTTTCTGTAGTGGTTGATAATCGAAAACTCAAGGTAAAATGGGACTCTAGGTTTTGGTTTATTAGAATTCTGTCAACAGCAGCTCTTAAAATGAAGACTCATTCACATTTTCATATTGAAGGTTGTATTTGGAGCAAAGTGACTTTCATGAGAAGTTTGCTGGTGGTGACATCTGTGTGGATAGATCATCAGAGTCTGTGACGTGCCAGACTTTTGAATTAACGCTGAGGTCTTGCCTCTATCCTCACATTGATAGACAGTACCTACATTGCTGTGGAAATCTCATGCAGACCTTAAAAAGAGATTTCAGGTAAAAAGGAGTAATTTAGCTCTGGAAAAAGTCAATTGTTAATAACCAGTGGATTTTTTTTTTCCCCTTCTTTTCTCCTTGTTTTCTCTTTTTTCTTTCTTTTTTGGTTTTGTGAGTATCTATTTGTTTTTGGTACTGAAAGTCAAGTACTGGAGCCTTCTGTAGGATAATCTTTAAAGTCTGTATTTCAAGCAAACTTTAATTAAAGAATGGATATGTAGTTAACAATTTTCTTTTGAAAAAATCAGTTAACCATTGAGATTTAAATACGTTGTAACTAACCTATTATATGAGAATCTGTGTCAAAAGACATACCAAAAGAAAAAAAGAAACCCTCAAAACATGTGCACAAAGTATGCTTTCAGAAGAAAAACATAAAATTACTTGCTAATAGATAACTAGTTCTGACTTACCTAGTTATCTGACAAGTTCTGAGTTATAATCTCCATAAAGTTCATAAAACTAAATGTCTTAGTTAGCTTTCTATTGCATGATGCAACAGTGACCCAAAGCAACTAAGGAGGAAAGGGTTTATGTGGCTTATACTTACAGTTCATCAGTGAGGGGGCTGGAGAGATGGCTCAGAGGTTAAGAACACTGGCTGCTCTTCCAGAGGTCCTGAATTCAATTCCCAGCAACCACATGGTGGCTCACAACCATCTATAATAGGATCTGATGCCCTCAGATGGACTGCATCTTTATTAAGTTCTCTTTGGTTGCCTGCTGTTCAGTAAGAATGTGTGGAGTCGAATCTTCTCCATGTTGAAGATGCAACTGTATAGATTCCAGAAAGAGGGTATATAAGCTTTTTCTTGTATACATATAGGGCACTCATACATAAAATAAAAATAAATAAAATTAACATCAACAACAACAAATAACAGTTCATCATTGAGGGAAGCCAAGGCAGAAACTTGAGTCAGGAGCTAAAGCAGACACCACAGAAGAACACTTACTAATTGCTCCCCGTGGCTTAGTCTGCTTTTTTATATAACTCGGGACCACTAATCCAGACAGGTGGCATTGCTCACAGGGAGCTGGGCCCTCCTTATCAATTACGAATCAAGAAAATGCCCCCACAGACTTGCCTATAGGCCAATTTGATGGAGGGGTTTTCCTAATTGAGGTTTCCTATTCCAGGATGACCTGAGCTGTGTCAAGTTGATGAAAAACAAACCAGCATATTAGGTTAAATGCAGAGCATATAAGCAGATGTTTAATAAGATAGGATCTATATTTTTCCCTTAATGCTCAGCAAAAAACTGAAATGAAATGTTCCAAATAGTAACTAAATACTTTGGATGATGGAATTTTAATTAATTATTTGTTTCATTTTTGTGATTTGCCAGAAGTTTTTTTAGAGGAATGACTTTCTAATTTTAGTGAATTTCTTAGGCATGCCTGTCTGACAAATGACTGTCAACGCATAAACCTTGCATCATTGTTGAATTCTACAGTACAGACATAAAGTATGTTCTGTTCCATGTCTTCTCTCTTTTCAAGGTTGGTGGAGTACTTGCAAGCCATGAGGAATTTTTTCTTGATGGAAGGTGGAGACACCATGTATGATTTCTATACTTCAATTTTTGATAAAATAAGAGAAAAGGAAACCTGGCAGAATGTGTCTTTTCTTAATGTCCAGCTCCAAGAAGCAGTAGGACAACGCTATCCTGAAGATAGTTTACGGTAACAAATGGGGCACTTTTCACTTTAAGAAGTATAAAGTAAACCATATGCCAAGAAATCAGCTGAGTTTTTACGTACTGTTCTTAGTCACTTATGACCAAAATACTTAACAGAGGCCCCTTCAGGCAGCTTGATTGACTCACAGATTGAGAGACTTGGGTATTTTGTGGCAAGGAGGATGCAGTTAAGTAGAGCAATTAATGTCTTGGCAAAGGGAATATAGTAATGCAGTAGAGACATAGGATAGGAAACAGCGCCAGGGATAACATACTCCCTAGGACACCTCGGTGAACTACTTATTCCCGCTAAGCCCACTTCCTAACTTTCCAGAACCTCCCGAAATAGCTCCACTTTCTGAAGATCAAGCATTCAAGTCATACATCAGTGGAGGATGTTACATACTCAGATCACATACATTATTTTATCTTCACATTAACCCTACAACTTACTTTGCAAATTAGAAACTCAAAGCTGACCCAGGTAGTGATGGCGTATGCCTTTAATCCCAGGACTCAGGAGGTTGATGCAGGCAGGTCTCTGAGTTCAATGCCAACCTGGTCTACCGCACAAGTTCCAGGATAGCCAGGGCTGCACAGAGAAACCCTGTCTCAGGAAAAAAAAAAAAAAAAAAAAAAAGGAAAAGAAGGAAAGAAAATCAAAGCTGAGATATGATGGCATATTCCTGTGATACCAGGTTCTTGAGGTCTGAAACAAGGAGATCATTTGAGCCTGGGAATTTGGGACCAGCCTTTATCTCCAGACAGAACACAAAGAAAAGGCTAAGGGATGGTTCAGTGGATAAAGGACTTGCCACACTAGCCTGAGGACCAGAGTCTGGACCCCAGCACCCACATAAAATAGCTATATGGGCATGATGGTCCAACTGTAATCCCAGCACTTGGGAGGTGTCAGGTGGTAGGGAGAGAATCTTGAGGGCAAGTAAGGTTCAGGTTCAGTGAGAACCCTGCCTCAGTGGAGTAAAAAGTGATTAACCTCTGACCTGTACACAGACACACACAAATACACAAACACATTGCACACACGATACATATATGCACCTCCCACCCCCAAAAAAGAAGGGGGGGTGAATTAAATTGGCAGCTGATATGGACTGCTAAGTGAGAGGCGAGCAGGTGGAGACCAACCAACTTGTTGGGGATGGTGGTTTCTATGGTGTTTCTGTTTGAAGTTCCTATGCATTGCTATTGCTAACTTTTATCAATCCTGCCTCCTTGAAGACATTCATAGCCTCTCTGGCAGGCCAAGTCCTCCTGAATGGCTTGGTCCTGCTCTCCTCCACCACAAGGAACTTGACCCTCAGAATGATAGCCATTATCATACTCGGGCCCCTCCTGTATGCCTCACACCAGACAGAAAAAGCTTTTCACTGTCAGGCTTCATCTTCTCAGCCTCCTGTCTTACACACTTACACACCATGTTCTCTCCTACTGCATTTCCCAGTGCAGGTACTTGCAGATGTTTGTGACTTCCCCAGGTGCTGTTCTTCCTCACTTCTAGGCCTTCTTCAGTGGTGTGCTCTCCCACTCATGGCTAAATAGTCTTGTCCACTGACTAGTGCACCTTGTGTTTACTGTGCCATGAAAGCAGCTCTACTGACCGAACTGGAGGCAGGACACTCAGGTTTCATCATCTGCATAGGAAGCTCTTAGTGACTGTTGATGTAACAAACTTAAAAACGAAAATAGAGCCGGGCGGTGGTGGCAGCGCATGCCTTTAATCCCAGCACTCTGGGAGGCAGAGCCAGGCGGATCTCTGTGAGTTCAAGGCCAGCCTGGGCTACCAAGTGAGTTCCAAAAAAAGGCGCAAAGCTACACAGAGAAACCCTGTCTCAAAAAAACAAAAAAAAACAAAAACAACAACAACAAAAAAAAAAAACGAAAATAGTTCGATCAGGTCCATGTGCCATGAAGTAAGTTGGCTAGTTCATATTATTCACACACTGCCCTTACCTCTTACTTTCCTGGAATCCTTTTTTTTAAATCTTACATAATGTGCATCCAGGTTATCATCTTCTAGTATCTCAGTAACTGTAGCGAGATCACTAACAGGACCTGTATGAGAAAAGGACACTTCCTTGAATAGTGCCTGGCACATGGATATTTCTCCTTTCCATGTTCTTTCTTTCTTCAGAAAGTAAAGTTCAGACCACCCAGAAGTGCATAGGCAGAGCAACACACAGCACCTGCAGCAAAAGCAAGCCCACTGGGCACAGTCTAGGACACTTACCAAGGAGCGGTTCTTCTAGTCCTTTCCCCAATACCTGCGCTTAAGGCTCAGTCCTTTTAGCCTGACTTTGACTAGAATTAGGCTCCTGGCCTATTCTCAAACTTTCTTTTTAATTCTAATTAACTTACTAACATTGTCAAGTATTTTTTATAACAAAACCTATTATTTTAAAACTTAATTGGATATTGGGGCGCACACACACCTGTAATCCTGGCATGGCAACGGTAGAGTCGTGGGGATCTCAAGTGTGAGGCCAGCCTACAATATATAGTCAGAGACTGTCTCAGAAACCAGACATGGTGGCAGATCATTTGGGAGCCTGAGGCACAGAGGTCACCTTGAGTTCAAGGTCATGTACATACCAGGACCTTGTCTCAAAAAACAAAATTGCAGGCTGTAGTAGCTCATTTCTGTAATTCTAACACTCAGGAGGCTGAGGCAGGAGGATTGCCATACATTTGAGGCAAACTTGGGCTTTACATTGAGACATTGTCTCAAGAATTGGGGCAGAGATGAGGGGGACCAAATCAATACCATTCATTTCTAAAACCAAGTTCCAGATCTGAGGTATATGCTGGAAAATGTAAGTTCATCCACATATTTATATTGAATGGAATGTTGAAGTGGGGTTGGTGCCCGTGTGGTGCTCTTATTGTTGGGACCTCACTCACAGCCCCAAGTGTGGTACCTCTGAGGGGTACTCCCTGCGCATGAATCAATGAAAGATATTAGAACATTTTTATGTGCACGTAGTAGTATCACAAACTAAAACTGAAACTTCTTCATTTAGTTTATCTATATCTTTTGAAAATGTTGATACAACTAAGAAGAAACTACCTGTTCACATCTTAGATGGTCTTACCCTAAGCTACAAGGTAAGCACTAATCATTTTTTTATAAAAATTGTTTTTTATTAAAACTAGGATATGCATGTAAAATTATATTTTTGTTTTTGTAGGTCCCATGGCCTGTGGACATTGTCATAAGTGTAGAATGTCAAAAAATTTATAATCAGGTGTTCCTTCTCCTATTGCAAATAAAATGGGCAAAATACAGCCTAGATGTTCTACTGTTTGGTGGTAAGATTTGATTTTGATAAATTAACTCTAATTTGATTTTAGTCCTGGAAATATTTTTATAGGTTTTCCTTATTTTTTATATGTAAACAAATAGCAAACTGGCGCAGGAGTGTGGCAGGTGCAGTTTTACCAAGCCCCTACTACAAGACTGAAGTTTGGGGCTGGGAGAGATAGCTTAGCAGTGAAGAGTGCCTGCTGCTCTTCCAACGGATCCATTTCAGACAGCTCACAACCACCTCTGTGCCAGGTCCAAGGTATCAGGCCCCATCATCTGGCCTCTGCAATGTGCAGTGCATACACACACATACACATGCGACATTCCCTCACATGACATCCACCCCCACATACACAAAAATAATAAAGTATCAGGAACTCATAGGGTTGATCTTAAATGTAATAATCTTATAAGGAATTGACATCCAAAAGGTTTAGTGAGGGTCTGGCAGAGGTTGTACATCTCAACAGTGGTAACAAGTATTTATTTACCCTTTATCTGTCCTCCATGTCTTCCCAGTGCTGGAATTAGCAGATGTGTGCCATCATGTCTGGTTTATTCAGTACTGGGAAGTGAACCCAGGGCCTCAAGCATGCTAGGCAAGCACTCTACCAACTGAGCTACAGCTACATCCTCATGAAACTTGGCGGTTTACCTTCCCAAGGCACAAATATGCCCTAGTTAGGTTCCTAGTCTGCTGATGCCGCATCCCTCATCTCATGTAAGGTTATGTACAGTGGCTTTCACTTAATTCCCTTGTTTTCCTTTCAATCTTTATAGAACTGGCTAATGCTGCTGAAAGATCCCAAGGAAAAGAAGACCTGCGTGAACAAGACACACTCTCCCAATTTGGACCACCCAAAGAATCATTAAGACAGCAGATTCATCGCATGTTTCTCTTAAGAGTGAAGCTCATGCACTTTGTGAATAGTTTACACAACTACATCATGACCAGGGTTGGTATTTCTCCATCTCCTCAGTTCTTTGTCTCATGGAGGTGGTCGTTTAAAGAGAACACTAATCATGTATTTATAACTACAAAAGAGCCACAGAACACTTAGAGATCGTGAAAAATAAAAGATATACATAATTTCATCATAAAATAATATGGCAGTGAGAGGTAATATGTTTTTAAATAAATATTTTTATTTTTTGAGAATTTTATACAACGTATTTTGATCATATTTACCTCAATCCCTCCCCTTGACTCCTCCCAGATCTACTTTCCTACACACAATTTCATGTCCTGTTTGTTTATTTTTAATTAACCCATGTACTTCAGTTTGTGCTGTCCATATACTCCTGGGTGGAAGCCCGCCCCATGCATAGAAGTGTGATTGACCTAGTAGGAGCCATACTTCTGAAAAGAAACTGACGCTCCATCTCCTAAAAGCCATCAACTGTCATAGCTCCTCAGTTACAGGTGGGAGCTCCTGGCCCCCTTCCCACTCTGTGCTGGAGTGTTGACTGCCTTGATCTTATGCGGGTACCCCCAGCTGCTGGGTGCTTCCTGGGCGCAGCAGTCCTGTGTGTCACAAGACACTGCTTGTGCTTTGTCCTCCCTGATCGCCCGGCTCTTACAGTCTTTCCACTTCCTCTTGCACTAAGTGAGAGGGAGAAAAGGCAGGCAGGCAGGGGAGATAGCTCATTTGGTAAAGTGCTTGCCAAAAAAGCATTACTGACTGACTTTGGATCCCCAATACCCACATAAAAATCTAGGAGTGTCCTGGCAGTGGTGGAACACACTTTTAACCCTAGCACTCAGGAGGCAGAGGCAGGCAGATCTTTGTGTTTGAGGCCCGCCTGGTCTACAGAGAGAGTCCCAGGACTATACAGAGAAATCCTGTCCGGGGAGGGGTGGGGTGGAGCCAGGTGTGGTCACACACATTAGGGAGGGAGGCAGAGACAGGAGAGTCTTGGCTTGCTAGCCATGCAATCTGGACAAATGAGTGCTAATTAAGCTTCTTGTCTTTCTCATTCAAGATTCTTCACAGTACAGGGCTGGAGTTTCAGCATCAAGTTGAGGAAGCCAAGGATTTAGATCAGTTGATTAAAATTCACTACAGGTATTTGTCAACCATCCATGACCGATGTCTGCTGAGAGAAAAGGTGTGTAAGATTACATCTCAGGTATAGCAGTGGGGCAAAAGGGAATCTAGGCAAGTGGGGATGCCTTTCTGCTGTGGGGTTTTGAATTCCAAAGCTAGCGTCCTGTGCAGTCTTCTCTTAGGAAAGACGGGGTTAAATGGGGTTACACATGTGTGCCACACTCCCACCAATTACATTTAAGAAAAACATACATATGTAGAACTGAAAACTTAAGTCTACAGTTAGCCAGTGGAAGTGTACCAATTCATTATGAGTATGTAGAAGTGGATAGTTTTACAGCCATTGGGACTTCCATCTCAGGTTCACTGATGAATCCAAATGGCATTCAGGAATGAAAGCTTGCCATCCTGGAGTGCAGGTTTACATCTGACTTGGGCTTGGTTCAGAGCCTTGCATCTTGCTTACACATAAACGATGGTTATTATAATGATGTGCTTTTTCTGTGATGTAAATTAGGAGAAAATATTGGTGTCATTGTTCAAACATAGTTACAAAGCCCATGTTTTGTCTCCGACATTGATCTTCAGGTCAGCTTTGTAAAGGAAGCCATCATGAAAGTGTTGAACTTGGCGCTTATGTTTGCAGAAGGTTGGCAGGCAGGCCTTGGAGCTTGGCAGTAAGTATGTGCTGTGTGACAACTCATATTGTGACCATTGCAGCTCCCTTCGAACAAGCATCATTTGCAGAGTCTTCCCACTCCCAGTCTTGGTTCACATACCATTGTAACTAATAATTTAAATTTTTAATTTGAAGGGTGGGAGTATAGTTCATTGTCTTAGCTACCATGCATAGGCCTGAAATTCAGTCCTGTGTACTACCAATAATAGAATTTATTTAGTTACACTAGATAGCATCAGGAAAGTCAGTTTACTTATAAGAGGCAAAACAGTAAAAAAGGGAAAAAGGAAAGAAAAATCTGAGGTCTTTTAATTAAAACAAGTGAATATTCTCAGATTATAAAGCTTAATTTTTATTATAGATACCTTCAACACTTGGAGAAGTGTAAGGACAACAAAACAAACCTGTGTGACTCACCTCAGCAGTTTCTGAGGATGACCAGCTCTGGGTCATGATCTCCCAACCCCTCACCTTTTAAAGTAAATTATGGGCATCATGCTGGGTTACTGTCCAATTCTCTGTGATTGTAAGCTCTAAAAGATAGTGTGTATTTTACTTATAGTGTTTTCACTTGTGTAATATAGAAAGGCAAATGACTTGAAGTCATTATACAGGAAAAGGCCCAGGAGCTCTTGCTTCTAGTCTATCAGGAGCATCTCCAGTTTGTTTTGTTTCTAGGCTAGGGATTGAACTCAGGACCTTTCATGTGCTATGTCAGTGGTTTACCACTGAGCTACACTACTAGCCCAGCTATCATCTTAGGTTAATTTGAATATATATTTCAATGCTTAGCCTCTGTCTCATTTATGACTTATATGCAATGATAATTTACTTTGCTGAATAAAAGCTCATGGCTGGTGGGTTGGAGGTTTTGTTTGTGTGCTTGTGCCTATATGAGGAATATTTGAGGATGCATGCACCTTTGTATGCACATTGAAGCCAGAAGAGTGTGTCTGGGTATCTTCCTCTATCATTCTCCACCAGTCAGTTCTTTGAGGCAGAGTCTCTCCCTGAACCCAGGACTCACATTTCCTTGGCCAGACTGAAAGCTAGTAAACCCAGCAACCGTCTTGTCTCCACCCTCTTCAAAACTATGGTTACAGGCATGCAAGGGGTTAATACATGGATGTGAGGATCCAAATTCTGGATCTCATGGCTGCACAGCAAACACCCTTAACAGCTTGACTGGGTTATATAACAAAACCTGCATTTAATCCATGTTCATAAAGAGGGGAAGAGTTCACCTCATTGCTTCTGCCATTCAAAATCCTAACCTAGAGGTGTTTGAAGGAAGAAATTAAGATAGTAAGGACACTCGTAGTTGTAGGTATGAAAACTTTAGTCTTGGGCTGGTGAGATGACTCCGCAGGTAAAGGCATTTGCCACACAAGCCTGACAGCCTGAATTCAACCCTCAAACGCACAAACAGGTAGAGAACTTGTTGCATAAAGTTGTCTCATGACATCATCACACATGCAGAGGCACACATAGACACATCACTCACAGACATGTACAATAATAGTAAGCCCAAGCAGGAACTAGGAATGTAGCTTAGTGGTGAAGCACTTGCCTAGGATGGCCCATGCCCCGAGTTCTATTCTGGGCAATACAAAAGCCAAAGGAAACAGATGCCTTCCTGACTTGATATTGTCCTCTCGAAGGATACAAAACGACTTTTCTCTGTAACACTGAGCCAGATGGGAGAATCGCTACTCCATATGCTTTACTAAATTTCTACAACAAATGTCAGCAAAAAGTAGGAGTGGGGAGGGCTGAAGCGTTTCAGAGCCGGTGTGGGGACGTAAATCTTGGCCTGCTTGGAAAGTGGAGGCTGGAAGGTCGTGAGTTAAGGCTAGCCAGGGTGACATAGAGACTCCGCACACCAGTATTTATGAAATGTTTGCATGTTTCAGTGTGGGGCTGGAGAGATGGCTCACTAGTTGGGGTCACTGGTTGCTCTTCCAGAGGACCCAGTTTCAGTTCCTAACAACCACATGGCAGTTTATAACCGTCTGTAACTCCAGTTTCAGGGGACCTGACACCCTCACACAGACATATATGCAGGCAAAACACCAATGCATATAATTTTTTAAGTGTTTCAATGTATCAGATTTGCTTCTAAGTAAGTACTGTAGTAAGGCTGAGGCGGGTTTATTAGCTCTAGATAAATGACTGACAAGGATGGGTGATAAGCTGTTATGTCTCACACACACACACACACACACACACACATCTGCTCACCCCAGAAAGGGAACCCTTGACAGACCAATGTAATGAATGCACCGTAGTCCAGCTTGGTGAACCAGTGAGCACACCCTGGGGACATTAACAGGAGGATGAACGGTAGGTTACTTAGCAGAGCAAGGATGACAAAAAATAATCAGCTATGTCACCAAAAGGCCCACCTGGATATGGGTGATGACTCACTCATCAAAGCTTCATTGCAGGACTCTCTGCGGGGCCTGTAAGGCAGCTTGACAGAATCTCCTCTGGGCAGAATCGCCTCCCCCAGCAGTTATTTACCTTCTATAAACGTGGGAGGGCACATCAAGAAGCTTCCTAGTTTCCACTCTCCCAGTCATGTGACCTATTATTTACTAGTTATTTCATCAGTCTCCTAGCATCTCAATCCCTGTCTCCTGCGAGGTGGGGTGGGTGGGGTTGATTCCTGGAAATGAATCAGTTTAGAGGAAACCTCTGTACATTTATGTTACATACATATTATGCAGTGTTTTCCTGTGTGTGTTGCTTACTTCCTATTTAAAAAGACATAAAGTCATACCTACTGATGACTTGGAAGTAGAAGGTAAACTGTCAGAGGAACATAGTCACAGGAAAGTGGCCTTTTGTGACCCTGGGTAGTGAAAACCGTTTAAAAAGGGTGGGGAGCTGGCTCGGCGGCTGTGCTTGTGTGGGCCGGCTGGCGGGTGTGCTTGTGTGGGCCGGCTGGCGGGTGTGCTTGTGTGCAAGCATAAGAACCTGAGTTCAGCCCCCAGCATCCCCATAAAAAGGGAGAGTATGGTTGTGTGCACTTGTAATCCTGCTGATGGAAGGGCAGAGACAGGCAGATCTAGGGCATGCTGGCGGCCAGTCCAGGGAGAGGCCTCATCTCAAAAAACAAGATGGCATGTACATTACTAATACCACTAAGTGGACTCAGTGGTTTAAAAATGAGCACATAAAGCTAGGAAAGCTAGGGTGGGAGAAATGGGAAGAGTTGGAGGGGAGGAAGTGACATGGGTTTGATCAAAACACATTATATGCATGCATGTAGTAAATTCTCAAATAGTTCTTTTTTGAAAAAACATAGGCTGGGTGGTGGTGGTGCATGTCTTTAGTCCCAGCAGTTGGGATGCAGAGGTCCCAGGACAGCGGGGGAACGAGACAGTGCTGTGCTAAGGAACAGCACCAGCGGTTATCTTCGACTCCCACATACATGTGAACACATATGCCCATGTACCCGCACACACAAATACAAACACACAGACCAAAAAGTTCTTGGAATGAATAATGATAATAGTTGCACAACTCTAAACATAATTACTGCCAGTGACTTTTACACTGAAAATAGTTAAAAGTGGTCAATCTTATGTGATATGTACTTCACCATTTTCTAAAAGCTCTCTTTTTGATAATTTCAAATTTTAGAGTTTTATATCTTTAGTGTATGCTTTATTTTTATAAATAATGTTTGCTTGTAAAAGTAAATATATAGATCTAAACAAAGGAAAAGGGAATATCTCTAGTCATGGCTCTAGAATTAAGTACTAATTGGAAAATGGTTGGTTTATATCTTAAATGAATTTTTTCTTAGCTTCTTTTTTGAGGCAATGTCTCTTGTAGCCAAGGCTAGCATCAGATTTGCTGTGTAGTTGAGAGTGATCTTGAACTTTTGAAGGTTTGTTTGTTTTGACTTTATGTCTACGGGTATTTGTGTGCACGTCTGAGCACCGTCTTCATGCAGTGCCTGTGGGGGGCCAGAAGAGAGTCAGGTCCTCTGAGCTGGAGTTACATGTAGGTGCTGGGAACAGAGCATGAGTCCTCTGCAGGAACAGCTAGTGCTCTTAACCTCTGAGCCCTCTCTCCAGCCTGCTTCCTCCTCTCAAGAGCTTGGAACTACAGGGATGCACCACCACACCCAGTTTTATGTAGTACTCAGGTTGGAACCCAGGGCATCATCCATGTTAGGCAAGCACTACCAAACTGCACTGCACTGCACCACCAGCCCCTCAAGACTTTGCATCTTAAAGAAAGGCAGGATGTAGTTCCAGAAACTAGAGAGCTAAGGCATTGAGATTATAAGTTCCTGTCAATCCTAGCCAATATAATGAGACACCCTGTCTATGAAAAATAATGCAAACTAATGTAAAATATGATGTTTCCTATTTTATAATCTTTAGCCTTAGGACTATAGAAATTACTTCAATGATAATATTATAGCCTGCCTACTACTAGTTCCTGTGCACTTAATATAAATTGAAATTTACTTTCTTTCTTAGAATGGAATCTATAGAGAAAATGGAATCTGATTTTAAAAACTGCCACATGTTTCTCGTAACCATTTTAAATAAAGCTGTCTGTAGAGGATCTTTTCCGCATTGTGAGTACATCATCTTATGTTATCACTGCTTTCATAATTTTATTGTAACTAAATCTGTGTGTCAATATTTGTTACTAGTCACATGGAAAGTTTGAGCTTTTCCCACTTTCAAAACTGGAAAGTACTAGCCATGATTAGAATTGGTATTGCTGAATTATGATGGGGTGGGTGATATCAGATGGCTGTCACTAAAACTGAAGGTCTTGTTTATTCATGTGCCTTTTATTCCAGTGAGTTCCTAAAATGGAAATGTAGGAGCTTGGAGAGTCAATTTCTCACTCTTGACTATCCTTTGAAACTATTCCTTTCTTAAAGATACAGACTTTTACAATTTCAGAACTTCCAAGACTACCTCTGATTACAAAGGAATGTGAATTTTACAGTTCAGAATATAGGGAGAAGGAGACAGGCGGTTTGTGAAGTGGAGGAATTTTAAGTCTGTGGAGACAGACTAAGTGGTGCCTGTGTCCACCACCACCCTCCCTTTTTTTTTAGTAAAGGCTGTACATATTGTTAATCTCTTCTCCGTTTGTGCATACTCTTAACAGCAGTATATTTACTAAACTCAGCCAGATGTGAACTGGGATCTGCCTGTTTAAGGGGCAACATTGATACATTTGTCCATGTTTACATGGGCCAGGGTTATGGAAGCAGATGCCATCCATAGATTAGAATATATATAGCACTGTATTACAAGCTAGCCCAGAATTTATGCCATATAGAACAAATGCTGTATTCAGTGAAATGCCTTTTTTATTTTCAAGATTAAAAGATCTGAAATAGAAATGTCATCAACTTTATCCATTTAATATTAACAAATGGTGGCTGTCCTCTATTATATATTAAGAGTATTGATTTTTTAATTAAAAATATAACAGATCTTTGGATACTTTGAAGTTTTGAATTCACTGCAGCCTTATTTAAACAAATTTAGAGCTAATTGTACCTTTCTTTTTCTTCCCACAGTGGAATCTCTAGCACTGTCGCTCATGGCTGGGATGGAGCAAAGTTAAAATCTCTGATGTAACAAGTACCTTAGACTTCATCATCATCCATGTACATTGTCATCATTTGCTGCTGAGAAATAAAAATCTTATTTTTACTTAATTTTATTTTAAACCGATCTAGACAAATGAATTGTAGGTATTTTCTCTGGAGATTGTTACCAAGTGTGTAAAATTATGTATATAAGATTGTGTATATAATTGTAAAATATATAAAAGTAGATTATTTACTCATTTGTCTTTCTTCTAAAGATTGACTTTATTTTATGTAGATGAGTATTTTGCTTGCTTGTACATATGTGCACTATGTGCACACTCGGTGCCCAGA